GGACTGGCACGACTCCAGGGCCTGCCTGGCCCTGCCTGGCCCCTGCCAGAGCCCCCCCTCCCCTGGCAGGGCTGGGTGGTCCTGACAGCCGGGGCTGGCAGGGAGCCTGCGGGCTTGCCATACTGCTCAGCAGGGTCGGAGCCTCAGGCAGGAGGTGCCAAATCCCCCTTGGCTAGAGACATCTAAACTCCTTGGATGTCAGGATCTCCAACCACCTGGGCCAGGAGCTCCAAAACCCCAGGGGCTGTGGGTGCCCAGTCCCCTTGGGCTTGCTGTGCCTAAATCTCGTGGGTTCAGGGTCTTCATCCTCCCCAATGGTAGCTCCCAGATCCATTGGCCCAATGACCCTAAATCACTTGGGCAGATGGTGCCTGAGCCTTTTAGCCATTGAGGATCCCAAATTGTATAGTACAGGGTACTGAAATCCTTAGCCTGGAGGCACCTAATCCCTTTGGGCTCTTGTTCCTAAGACCTGGGGACCAAAGGCTTCCAGACCACCTAGGCTGAAGACCCTAAACCCCTTTCAGGAGCCTGGTGCTTAATTCTCCTGGACATGAGGGGCCTAAACCACTCTGGCCACAGGATTCCCCAGTCAGCTATAGTGGAGGATGGAGATGCCTGATCCAGCTGGACTCTTTGTGTCTAAACCCAGTGGACCTGTGGGTCACAAACCCCTTTGGTCAAAGGCACTCAAATTCCTTGGGCTCGGGTACCTAATCTCCTTCCTTCAGTCAGTAAGTCCTAAACCTCTCAGACCAAAGGATCCTTGGTCACCTCTGCTGGATGCACCCAAATCCTATAGACCCTCGGTTCATTACCCCCTGTGGTGGGCACCCATAAACCACCTAGATGCCAGGATCCAAGTCATCTATGCTGAGGTCCCCAAATCCCTTAGGTGGCGTCACCTAACGCTCCTGGCCTTGTTGATCCTCAAGGTCCGTGATCAAGCTCCAAACTCCCTCAGGCCCTAGTATATGACCCCCCCTACAGTTCCTAAATCCCATGGATGGGGTTCCCCCAAATCCCTCAGACCCCAGGGATCCCAAATCACCTGGTTTTGGGGTGCTTAAACCCCTTGGGACAGAGCCTCTCCCCCTTCCCAAAAAGGTCTGAGCACCTCCCAGAGAAGGTGTCCGAGTCCCTTCGAGCTGCAGGAGCCCGGCGCGCGGCTGGGGAGAAGGGGGGCGGAGTCACGGCGACGTC